CACTACTACGCTCCACAATAACGCACTGATGATGTCACCTCGATTGGTGATGAAACGTTTGCAATCAAATTGCCCAGCTCAGCGAACAAGCCAACGACCACCAAGCGTGTAACTGCTGACTGCGGAATTACAGAAAAGCAGTAAACAACAGCAAACTAGCGGGTTTACTGCGTGTGTTCACTCTTTCAAAATCCTCAGCTTTTGGTGGACTACGACATGTGCGAACACAACGGTTGTCCAGCAAATGTTAGACGTGCAATTAAACCACGTATTTCGTGGCTTTTTAAATGTATGATCTGGCGAAACAATTAGATTCGACACTTAACTAACTTTCCTGGTCCGTTTACATTCGTCGGTTACTTCGGTTACTTCGACAAAGCATATTGCAATCATCAAACATAAATCAGAATCTGGAACCTTGAGTCAAAAATCCCAGTCCCGAAATTCTGCTTTAGGCGAAGTACTGGAGAACATCAGACATTTTTTTCCTACGCATTGTTAAGTACAACCAGAGAAGCCGAGCGGCCTCGATGGGATTGACTTCCTAAACGAATGCGTCGCTCTATAAATTTCCAGAAATCATTAGATTTTTGGAGCAACTACATCTATGCTCACCTAATTCTCCGGAATATTGACGAGGCCAACGCGATGTCCACCACAAAAATAACAATGCACACCTGGACGAACAAATAGCTGCTTATAGGGATTCAGCGTCTCCTCGAAAAGAGAACCCAACGCCTTTTCCGAAGGATAACAACAGGTAACACAAATAACGTTTGGGGAATTTTTATAGTTAAAAACTAGTGTAAATCCGGAATACCCCAAAATAACTTAGGAGAACAAGACACACTCGTTGACTTTGCGGAACGCATGCACAAATGCTCTATATATACACACGAAAACACAAGAGAAACAAAGCAACATTTTCCCTCTCAGGAAGCATAAACTAGGACCTATCGGGATTTAAGTCTGCGGTCTACAGCAAACGTTACTCCGGCCTGTATTCCGCCAGGTGAATTCATCACATCCGATCGTGGGAAGAAGTAAACTTGAATTAACTATAAACACTAAGGACCATATTGTTCAGTTCTTCCATGGGAAAAATCCCTACAGAGAGTGGTGGCCGAGCGAGCCCCTTACAAGGACTCCGAACGAAACTTCACGCACATTGGCATAAAAATTCTGCCAGGTTTCTCTACACC